GCTTACTTTTCTGCCCATTATTGGTCATTAGGAGACATGGAAGCAATGTTTACAGATGACATACCAAACCAGGAATTCTCTTTTTGTTGCAGCACTGCTGAACTTTAAAGTTTTCTGTCTGTGGGAAGTTGCTAAATGAAAGAGGAATGAAAGGCAGAGGCTGAATGATTTTATCTTGTACAAATCTTGCAAAAGCAAATCTTGCTTGTTGCTAAATGGATTTGTTCAGTTTCAAAGCTAAAGTTAAAGTCTACACAGCGACACCAAAATATAAGAGAGCAGCTGAAAAAGTACAACAGAGCAAACTGCTTTTTTAAGAGCTTTTAATTAAAAGCCTTGTACAAGAAACACAGAAAGCAACAACGGGTAACAGGACACTGAATACATAATCTGTACAATAAGGGTTTGCAAAACATGCTTCAGAAGTTCAGATACATTACAATGTCATCGTTATCCTCCACCTCCTCGTCATTACCATCAATACAATGTAAATAGTTCATATTAGCATTATACCAGACAAAACTGCAGTCTTGACACATTTAAATCAGTCGGAGTTTGCCTTCCGATCAAACCCATACTGGACTATTAAAAAAAAATGGCATTCAAATAAACAGCATCACATTAACATTAATTATGCATATTTCAAAAAAAAGTATTAAAGTACAGTACAAAGGGGAAAAAAACGGCTTAAAAAGCACAATTTTCAATTCATTAAGCATCTTTATCCATACATTTAAACAAGGATCCTTCCTTTTTTTCCAATCAGTGCCAAATACTTCTAGCACTTAAAATTACATCACATAAATGTAAAACAATTCCAAAAAGGGAAACAAAAGGCTTAAAAAAGTGAAATAACAAAATCAAGAGCCCTATTTGGTTGAAAGATAGGCCACTAAGTTGAGTTGTGCTACTCCATATGAGAAAGGAAAAAGAAGAAAAAAACATTGCTATCAACTGTTGGAAACATCGCCTAGCAGCCTAATACCTTACACATCTACCAACTGCAAGAGTCACTTCTATCCACCACTTAAAGATATCAAAGATATAGTTGATGAAAAAATCTATTCCAAATCACGATATATCCATTTGGAGAAGAAAATAATCCTTTAGTTCGTCTGTTTCTGGAAAATATAGTTTTTCACTTTGTCAAATAAGGATTTAAGTTAAGTACTGTCCTTTGAAAAAGTACCTTGATTTGAATTTGAGCTTGAGACCACTTCGTAAGAGTAACTCGCTTACTGTTTTCTTCATATAATGGATGTGTCATTTTGGAATAAATCCTTCCACATGTAACCTATGAGAGTATTGAAACAGTATTGACAACAACTAGAACCATCCAGTACATGACAGGAGAGGAGGCGACATCTTCCTCGTCTGCGTTAACGAAGACATGGAGAACACTGCGTTTTAGACATCAGAAGCCTTTCAAGGTTATTACTGTTTGCGAGATCATAAAACTTTATCTCTACCACCAAAGCCATGGCAAGTCAGACGGTTTCTTTCTATTTTTTTTTTTCCTTTTATAGCATGTAAGAGCGGAGTAAGACGAGGTAAACGTCGCCTGGAGTGCAGCTGGGGTTGAACGGAGCAGCTATAAGGCAACACATGCGGAAGATTTTTTTCTTTTATTTTTAAAATACTGTAACACACAGGTACACCAGAGTAAGAGCCAAGGTCTGGGAAGGTCTAGACAGAGCAGGCAGCACCAAAGAAAAGGGTTTGGAGTCTGTGTATAAAGGGCCGGGTTTCTTTTGAAGTACTTCAGGTGGACTTGAAGGTCAAAAACTTTGAATGGCTTTCAGACATTCAGCTGAAAACATCCCGCTGTGAACAATCTCAGCGAATGTTCAAGACCATGTGGGTGATGGATCACACCTTCCAATATAAAGCTTCTTTTCTAACCACCCGACACGCTTTCTGACAGTAACATAATGCCACTGACAGACAGCACACTTGATGTGTTCGTAGAAAACAACTGTGCCAACATCCTTTGCTCTCAGGTCTGAAAATGTCCTCGTCAAAGGTTGTCACCTATGTAAAAAGGTAAAAACTGCAAGGCCGGAAACAAAACACTTGCTCATCTTTTGACAGTAAAAATGAGGCAACTGTAATCTGGTAAAACGGCTGGAGAAGCACCAAGCTGATGCAATTATCAGCCAGACGAAAGAGAATTTGTCATGAGGTGATATACCACATGAGACATCAGTGGCAAGAGAGGATGTTTTTCATGTTTGAGCCTGGCACATCAATGCATCCTTGGGTCTAATTTGTCAAGGTTTCTCTTCCTCAAGAGCACTGGGTCACCGCGAGTAATGAAATAACCATAGATCATGGTCTAAATCAGGACATAGCACCTTGCCTTACCCTTCATGTAGACACTTGTGGTGGAAACACAGTGCAAAGTGCAACTGTATTCCACTTGAATTTTGAAAACACATTTTGTTTCAGTGTGGGCTGTGATTGGCTAGTGGCAAACCTGCAATGCAAGAACTTGGTCACAGTTTTCTTGCTGTAAGCGGCATTGCTACAGGATGGCTGAGCTTCGAAGGGCAAACCTGCATGCTATTTCAAACGGGAGGCAATGTAGTTAACGGATGGAGTACTTCTTTACAGTGGATAGAGTTAGGCCGACACTATGGACCAAACCAGGAGCTGTGGTGGAACCATCAAGCTTTGTAAATACTGTAGCGAGACACCGTGGCACAAGCCTCCATAGGTGGCAAGCAAGGTACAAGCATACATGGACGTTTATGCTCAATGAGTTGTACGTTGCAAAATGCTCCGAAAAGCCAGGTGGCAAAATATTTTGTGGATAAGCAAGAAGCCAACCAGTGTTGACGGAATACCTCACAGAAAAGTAGGCTGCCTGGCAACAGTAGTTAACATCAACATACCACCAATCATTGCAAATGTGTACTCTGTAAGTACTGCAGTTGTTTACCTTCAAGTCAAAATTCTTCTGTACCGCTTTGATTCCCCCCTCAGGTCGCCATCCTTTTTTCTTTTTGCTTTTACAGCGATCTCTCATGTTCCTCCACACCTCTTCTTTCCCCAGTGCGGCGGCTATTTCTTTTCAAGAATTTAAGGCCATTTGACTGTCCCTCCAGTCTCTCAATGAAGTCGTAGAGATGTCTGTCTTCAGATTCCCTCAAAGGCATCCATCTAAAACTAGGCACTAGGTGCACAGCCAAGCAGCACAACTACTTTAGGAGCCTTCCTGCTTGATGAAAAAGTCATGGTAACATAATTTTTTGGTGTGCAAACCTTGTGCCAGGGACTCTATGGCAAGCATAACCCTAGCTTAACTGCTGTGATTCATCAACTGAGCTACAAAAACACTGGCAGAGATACCGAAAGCTGGCATACCTTCGCTTCTAAAACTACTTGATTGTAACTAGAGAAACTATTCTTCATTACACATTGTTCAGAAAATGACGCCTTTAAAGGAAGTTTGACAACGATTCTATTAAAGGGTGTAAAGTTTGTATTTCTCCAAAAGTTCTTAATTCCACAGATGCCAAAATCTCAACCACGTCTGTTTATGTTTTGGTATAACCTAAAACAACTGGCACAGTAACCCATTACCACGCCTGACGGAGAGTTGCTGAATAAGCTGACGAAGGAGGAGGAAAAGAACACTTGTCCTCAAATTCCTGACACAGTCTCGGCCTGGTTCAGTTTATCTGATCCTATGGGTAGCAGGAGGAGACTGAAACATGCTACATAAGAACCACTGCTATTGAAACTTGAGAACATACTAATAAAGCACTGTTAGCTAAACTGACAAGCAACATTCAAAAGGAACAAAACAGGGTGTAAAGCTGTTTGCTCTAACTGCCAAAGTGGAAGGTAAGGAGACAAGCTTACCCGTCACTTCTGATGTTAAAAAGCCAAACCACCTTGATACATGTTCCACAGACTTCAAACACCTGCCAAGTGGCTCAAAGGCTCAACAAACTACTATTTTTAGCTGCATTTGGTTGGTGGCTTCAGCCTGAACTGTGTTCAGCTCATGGACCTTCTAGACCTTGACAAGTTTAGAAGTTACATCACGCAAATCTGGCGTAAAGAGGAAAATTTCACAACCAACTGCCGGCCAGTTTAGAGTCTTGGTGGACGTCACAGAATTAAAGAAGATGGTGGGTTCGTGAGAAAACAAGGCAAGCAGGGAAAGATGGCAAGGACAGCAATAACTTAAAAACTATTGTTTTTGTATATTCTTTTGCAGCTTTTAAGGTTGTGCGTGCATATAAATACTTACTCATACTGTATGTATATATGCATGTGCGTTCAAGAGAGCAAGAGGAAAAGGCTTTGAAAAATTGATGAACTACATAAAATAGGTTGTTTTTCGATGCAGTCAAGTGCATTGCATTTACCTCGCTGTATTGATGCAATATATGAGAGTCCAACTGTGTTAAGTGCAAAAACACATCACCTTATTTATCATTAACAAGCTGGACTTCCAATGAAACTATACGGGGCAGGAAATTGGCATAACACCTGAAGGCTTTCAATAACAGCCTTCACAGCAGAGCCTGAATCAAAAAACTATTTGTTTCTTTCATATAAGTGTGCTTGATAAAAGCTCACCCCACACACCAGATGGTTGTGTGTTTTCACTTTTTTTTTGGACAATTTGTTATTACATCAAACACGCTAATCTGAGCATGTCTGAAGCAAAGGAAAGAAAACAAATACCATTTCCATCCAAGTCTGCCTTAAAAGAGTCAGTGCTGTGCAAGTGGACAAAAATATGGCAATTTCAGGGCGTATTAGCTGCCCGTTTTCAAATTTATACACTTCTCTTAAAAAAAATATGCTCTTTTTCATACTATTCAATGGCTGGGCGTTGTTAAGTTACATTGCATTTCATTAATTGTTACACGAATATGGACACACCTTTAAGAAAAAGGTAGGAGTTGGCTGAAGTGGCAACACTGGCATGATATTTTCTTCCATCATCAATGGCAATCGACTTCATAACATCTGATCTCCTATGGCTTGGGTGGGGAGGGGTCGTCAATGGTGGTGCAAGGGGGAGGGGAGGAGGCATTTTCAGGGCTAGCGGAGGGTGAGGCAGGGCAGGAGGCAGGAGAGGGGAACTCTTTTATGGTGACAGTGACGAGGTTGGTGGTGACGTCGGTGACCACCACATCCTTACAGCTCGGTGCCATTTCAGGGTGCCAGTCGGGGTCTCCCTCTGCAGGCACCCTTTGGGGTTCGGCAGGGGCAGAGCTCTGGTCCCCAGGGGTGACGGAGGCAGGGGTCGTGGACGGCTGGCGTTTAGCCCTGCACTGGCGAGGACTTTTCCTGCCTCCCTCTGGGGTCGCCAAACGATCAAGGGTGCTGTCCTCCTCCTCGTCTTCCAAGGAAGATGATGGTGAGGCAGGGAGGAATTGTGATGCTGACGCAGTGGAGTTTGCATCTGAGGACGGGGCAGGAGCAGCTAGCTTGGCACTCTGGCCCTTCTGGGTCTCTGTGTGAGGTTTACTGGACTTGGGACCCTCGCTGGAAGGTGAGGCTCCTGTGGCAGGCTGGGGCTGAGCAGCTGAGGTGCTAGATTTTCCTTCAGAGCTGCTGGAGCTAGACGGAGAAGGAGGTGACTGGTACTGGGAGGAAGTAGAGTGGGTGTCCCTGGCCCCTGTGCTGGAGCCTGGGTGGGAGTGAAAGGACAAAGGGCCTCCACACTGCAGCCCAAATGGCTTCCCATACATCGGGAAACCGAGCATCTTCAGAGGGGGCTGGAAAGGTCTATAGGGTGCCTCTCCCTTCTTCCCGATGATGCGATTGCGGGAGGGGATATTTTGGCGTCCTGTTGTGATATTCCGGCTGCCTGCAGCTGTGCCACCCCTACCTGGCTTGTCAATGACCTTCAAGTTGAGGATGATGCGACCTCTCTTGACCTCCCGGGGTTTGACTCTACGGTTGAGGATGCGGACGGTCTCAGAGAAGGGGGAGACGTGCACGCGGGAGGGGAAGCCACCAGGGTTGGAGAAGGAGGCTGCCATGGGGTCTGAGCGGGGCAGGGGGCGCCTGGACATCCGGTGGCAACGGTGAATGTCTTTCTTCAGCTTGTGGGTGGCTGCAAGGGAATTGAGTTTGGGAGTGGGTGCCACAGTGGAAGAGGAGGAGGAGGAGGAGGAGGAGGACGAAGATGCTAAATGAGGTGAGGCTGAGGAGGAAGGAGTTGCTCGTCTGGAAGTGGACGAAGAGGAGCGAGATATAGTTTGACGGGCATTTGAGCCCCGGCTGCTGGGCCCTCCTTTCTGAGCAAGAGCCTGAGGGAGAAACCATTGAAGGAGGAGTGAGGTTTATTTTTGTAGAGAACCTGCCTCTTTCACCACAATTTGTACGGACAATTTGAAAATGTGGGTTGCACAGCTCTCACTTTGCCTCCCATATGAGCCTAAAAAGCATGGTTTTGGTGTTTTGCAGGTGGAAAGACGTGTAGGTGTTACATTTGTTTAAATGTTTCTATTAGACATCCAGGTAACATGTTCCAAAAGCATTCCAATAACTGTATTTTATTGTGTAGTCGTGTCATTGAAATACTATACAAACTTTAAATACTTAAAATACTAAACAAAAATCTCTCTTTCCAAATGCATAATCCCAAGATTTCTAGACATGTGGATATCTTTTTTTGCCTGCAAATCACCAAAACAGTGCATGGTTGGACTACTGAGCAGTAACTGCACTTAACATGTGACCATAAACTTCTGCCTAACAGCTACTGATTGTTGGCTATTTGTGATATACATGAACAATTTGTGTACAACATTGCAATCTCTGTGGTTGACAGTGAAACTTTATTTAAATTTCAGAAAGCACTTGACTTTAACATCGTTCTGACTGCACTGCCTGCTGCCAGTTGATTTGTAATAATGAAAATGGCAGCGTGAGAAAGGAAGTAGCACAGCATATATACACCACCAAGATAAAAGTAAACTACAACCCAGCAAGGCCAGGTGGGTTGACCTTATTCTTACTTTGAAGGGTATGTTCAATTTTTATCAGCCTGGACCCTATTTTCTCATGTTTTTGAGTCTAAGTGACAAGTGGCAACAACAATTTTTAACACTGGTCCAGAAGTTAGCGAGTCTGCTGCAGGTGGCAGCAGTGAAACAGCACATTTGCACTGTCAATTTACATCCACTACAAGTGCTTGTTTTTGCCACAGACAGGCTCAGATTGGTATTTTAAGTGTCTGACAACATTATGGAAAGATCCCTACAGAGACAGACCTTTGTGTTTGAGAGTAAGATCCTTTTATTTAACTATAAACAAGCCTATAAAATTCGCCATTGCCAATCCCACCAGACTCCATTTAAATAAACAGTAATTTTATTATTGTAAAACATGCTTCATTCAAAGTTGACAGAGATAAAATTAAACTCACAAAACAAGTCTTTGTTTATTTTTCCACTGTTCTAGCAATCCCACACTCTGGGTAATTTAAATAAAGGCTTAGTTTGCCCAGTTAGATGTGAAATTATACTGGCTCTATACACACTAAAATTACTATTTATTTAAATGAAGTCTGGTGGATGGAGGAATTGTGATGTCTGGGTTGTTTCTGGTTGAACAAAAGGATATTACTCTAAGTCAAAAGGTCTATCTCTGTGGGGATCCTTTCCAAAATGTTGTCAGACACTTATTATAAGAATCTGAGCTGATCAGTGACAAAAACAAGCACTTTTTGTGGAGATTCGGTGCAAAAAAAAAAAAAAAAAAAGCCCTGAATAGTTACACTCAAGTGTGTTTTGCTGCAGCTGGCTGCAAAGGTCTCACTCATTACTGTACCAATTTAAAAAAATGGCGTTCCCATTAGTCACATAGATAAAAAAAAAAACATGGGAAAATAGGGTCCAGGTTGAATAAAACCAAACTTACTCTTTACCAATAGATTTACAGATTGACTTATTTAGAAGATCTTGATGAAAGTGACCAACAAAGGATTTTTGCTATAAATTTTAAGACCATTATAAAAGGTGTGCTCATTGTGTATTACTGGAAGGCTTGTTTTTCACGTGCATGGCTGACTTTTTAAATCACTGATGTGTTGCAGCATCCATAAAGTACCATCTTCATGCTGAAACATTGAAACAAGCGTCAGGAACTGTACCTTCAAGACAAAGTTTTTGGGTTTTGGTCCCCGTTTCTTCGGCCCATGCATTTCCCTTTCCCGTTCCCTATTAAAAAAAAAAAAAAAAAGAAAGGAAATGACAGTTACAACCACACAGGTAAAGACAGGCTAAAAATAGAACAACACAATGAGAGCGAATGTAACAAATGGAAAGAGGAGATGGTGATGAAAGCTGTGTGTGTGTGTGAAAGTAGAGCAGTCAGGCACAGCGAACTGTTTGAAGCCATGTTTGAACACAGCAAGATTCTCTGTCTTTACATGTCCATTTTAGCTTCCATTTGATGTGTCTTTTAAGTTTGTCCGTTTTATGGTGTCCATTTTAGTTTACTGTAAACATCTACTCTCTGTGAGCAGCGCAAGGCTTTCAAGTGGTCTGGCAGCAGACATAAAGGACGTCATCTGAGATGGGTGTTTTAAGATCAGGAAGAGGAAGGCAAAGACAGAGATGAGGTAAAAGAAGCAAGCACAAGCACTAACAGTGAGACAGAAACAGTGAGATACATGGGAGTTAACATAAAGTAAGGGCACATAACAATGTAGAAATGTTGAGACTAATGACTGAAATGAACACAACAAATTCACTGCTTTACTCACTTTCGCTCAAAGCCCAGTATCAGCCTGTCATCCAGGATATTCTCCTCTGGCTCCCAAGTGCTGTGCCTGAACAAGGATGGAGCAACATGAATGAAAACACACAAAAAAGGGAACTGTTTTACCACAAAATATTTTTAACCAACATTAATTCAATCCACATTTCCAGTTTAATGCGAGGGCATTAAAAACAGTATAACAGACACACATCTCACTTTAAACATAACGAGGATTGTTAATTCCTGTTCAAGTCAAAGTCAAGGGAAGCACTTACTTCATTGCCCATCCTTTCCATTTTACCAGGTATTCAAGTCTTCCCTGCAGGAAAAGGACAGACGGTAGGTTAAGAAAAACAGGGGCGAGAGACTTTTTTCTGAAATCCCTTTAATCTTTCCATGCATTTGCAGCAAACATATTGGAACTTGATTATATTTCAAAGGAAAAATGTGCTTGTTGTAGATTTCTTCTCCTGTGATTGGGGACACTGTGCTGTTCTCATCTTGATATGTACTCACCCTGCCTTTCAAAGCTATATCACACACATTTAACTTTTTTTAACATTACAGTAACCATGCAATGGCAGGAATATGAAATTGTATCATTTCCAAAAAGGATAAGTGACTGAAATACATCTGTAAAGGAGCTAATCCTCACCCTAAATATGGTGCTCCTACTTTTGTCAAGTGCTTTGATTACTTACATCTCCCAAGAGAGGCTGCAACTATGAAGTTGCAGCAGGAATTTCAGAAGTAACTGGAGGCCTGGTGGGCCTGCTGGTTAACTGTGACTACCAGCCCCTTTAGATGGACCCTAACATGATTTATAGGGTCTTTTTTCCCCAGTATACAAGACAAACTGGGCTGATAAAACACTGAGAAACTATTGGATGCCCTTCATCAACTGTGGCTGATTGACTCCTTTAACACCAGCAGTAGATGAGTGTGATGACTAATGTTCTGGGACCGTTTTTCACAACCGGCAGCAGAAAGCAGTAGCCTCCAACAGCCTTTAATGTGGCTGCTACATGTACCTCTGCCACAGGCTGTAAAATGCAGACTGTGACCGTATAGCTTTAGCTACCATTAGCTGGCAGAGAAAAGGGCCCCTCCATTTCCTACCACAGCCCTCAGCCCATCGGCTGGGCTGCCTTGTTCTGCAGCTAGCCCCTTCTTTGTGTTTTTATTGCCCTGCTAATGCCTGAATATACGAGCCGTGACTGATAGCCTCGCTAGTTAGCTCCTAGCTAGCTCTGGTTAGCAAAGTAAAGGCATCCGCCAGCCACAAGGCCTCCATAGCGTTGCATAGGCGCAAGAAGATAGCCCCGAGTCTATGGACTGGAGCGGCGCCGTGTCGTGCCGTTCCGGACCGCGGCCAACATCAAGAGAAAAACACGCGGGACGGCAGCGGCTGTAGCTCACCTTACGGACGCGGCGTTTCAGTATGGCTTCCGCGGCGAAAACGCGATCTCCCACCGCCGACAGCTCCATCTTTCATGCCCGGACTAAGCTAACGTTACCTGTGTCTGTTTTGCTCTCTCCAGACGTCAAGCTCTGCTGTCTGCTCAGGCCGACCACAGCCACACTGTGTGAGAGGCAGCAGACACACATGCAAACAGTAACACACACACCACTACAGCAGCAGCGGCGGCAGCAGCGGCGGCGGACAGCGTATCTGTCACGTGGCCAGGGTCAGCCCCTTTGGTCGTCCTGGCAACGATGAAGACACTCACGAGGATGCAAAGACCCGCGCGCTACTTTCAGCTCTTATCATGTGTGTGTGATGACGGAGGGCGCCATGCCAACTTCTTTATGTAACACAGGAAAAGTTCACATGTTTATACTGCTGTAAATGCTAATAAGATGATTAAAATCTCACAAGTGACATGTGAAGACAGCAGCAAACAAGCTTTAATTCAATTTTCCTACATGTGTAGCAGCCAAGTTTTAATTCACATCTAAATATCTGTAGACAGCAGGCAGCAAACCAAGTTTTGAGTCACATCTCCAACATGCCATATAGGCTACAGCAGCCAGCAACACTGCGTTTCACTTCAAATCTCTTACATGATGTGTACACAGCATCCAGCAAAACCAAGTTTTAATTCACATCTCCTGCATGCCATGTGTTGACGGCAAGCAAAAACAATTTTTAATTCACATTTCCAACGTGTTGCAGCCTTCAATACCACGTTCTAATTAAAATCTCGTACATGACGTGTAGGCAGCAGCCAGCAACACCAACTTTTTATTCAAATCTCCCATATGTGTCGGGGTGAATATATGCACACACCACATTTCAGTTTTTTAATTCCAGAATTTTTCAACACATCTTTTTTTAATTGCATTTCACCAATTTTGGTGATCTATCAGTCAGTCTATTAGGCTACAAAATAGTCCCAATAAAATGCATTTTAATTTACAGGTTGTAATACAACAAAATAGGGAAAAAAGGTTGGAGAATACTTTTGCAAGGCACTGTGGGTATTTTTTTTCACTTCACTACACTTATTTAAAATACTCACTTTCCAAACAAAACATATTATCAGTTTATAAAATATGATCCAAAACTCTATGGAGTAGTTAAAATTAACTCAACCTTGATCAATCAACATCAGCATTAAAGTACAGCCTGTTACATTCACACACATCTTGGACTATTATCCCTGTAGTCTCCACTACAAACTTATACACATCCACTGACCAATATGTTTGCACCTCTTGCACAAAATTGTTCAACTCTCTCATTCTGAAACAGTTCTTCATATTTTATTGTAATCTTTTTGTTCTATGTTCTTGTCTTTTGTAGTACTTTGCTTATATTTTATTCCCTCTTAATATGTTTAACACATGCACCAAACATCAAGGCAAATTCCTTGTAAGGGACTGTTCTTTACTTATCAGTGTAGTGGGGTGGCTGGAGTTTGACTTCTTTCTTTTTTTTAAATTAATTTATTTATCTTTTATTTTGACCCTCCCCAAAGCTACAAAATTTTTTCCTTGAGCGTATGAGTGACTGGCAGAAAATGCATGACCCTCCCTTCACCATAAATTAATTATTAGAATTTCAAAAAGTACCCTCTGATGTTTGAAAGTTGAAAAAAAAAAAGCCTTGGTTTTTCCCCTCTTGTCGTGCATCCTGGTTAGAGTAAAATGATTTTGATGAAATATCACTATTTTAAGCTCAGATTTGGTTGTGTACTTTTTCTGATGGAAGTGTCCATTGCATATGATGGGTCCAAAGACTGTCGGAAACTTAAAAAATCCAATGATAATTCCCTTTTTTTTTTTTTTTAAAGACTTTTCTTTTGGGCTTTTGCCTTTATCTGACAGGACAATGTTTAAGCATGAATAGAGGAAGAGAGAGAGAGAGGGGATTACATAGTGCCCCATACTATCTGTTCTTTTTTGTAGCTATGATAAATGGTGTAATATTGGTGATTTTTAAAGAAAACATGCCTTGCAAATGCACATCTTTCTGAAAAATCAGAGGTAAAATAAAAACAAAATACCACCAATTTGGTTTTGACCAAATTTTAAAGGAGAATGAAGAGATTTTGATGAAATATCACTATTTTAAGCACACATTTGGTTGTGTATTTTTTTCTGATGGAAGTGTCCATTGGCATGATGTGTACAAGGACCGTCGGGAATGTGAAAATACAGCGATCATTTCTGTTTTAGCAATTAAAAAAAAACAACTCTAATTAATTACATGCTCTGTGATTAATTAATCTAAATTAATCGCATACATCAACTTTTGCTATGAAAGTATTTAAATAATGTCAATTACAATGAATTTTGTCATATGTGTTGTATAGTAACGCTGCTGGATTTTGGACACAATTTGTCTCCCCTGTCCTCTACCACTAAAACGGGTCTGCAGTCCATTGCAATCCATTTCATGAGGGAGTTAGTCGGTTACAGGTAGACCTACTCAGTTTGCGTCTCAATGGTCAGGTGTGGCTTGATGAGGCTGGCTGCTAACACTAGCATCAGAGGCTAAATGCTTTTTCTTGAGGTGATATTTCAGGCTTGAAGTACTTTGATGGTATGAAAATTAATTACTGCAGAAACTGCAGAGAATGGTGCTCCCATCAACAGTTCCATCTGGGTGTTTTCCTAAATGTAAAAGTTCCATTCAAGGGGCCAAACAGCATCATCTCGTCTGCCTCCATCATTTTATTAATGTGTTATTTTTGTCTGTTACTAATTAAGTAAAAATTAACGCGTTATTTTGACAGCCCTGTTTTTTACAGTTTGTGGCTATGATAAATGGTGTAATTTTGGCAATTCTTAAAAGGCCCTCTTACACTGCCAGATTTTCCATGAATGTTGGGTCGTTTTGCCGGCAAGCTGTGAGCATTTAGACACATAGAGCTGGATTGGCGAGCTGCCCAATTTTCCGCCACATAGGGGTAAGCATATTGACGGAACCTTTTTGGTTTAAAAAGAACGAGGCACCCTTCCGCCACGGGAGGGGCTGTTGATGACTTGTGGGAGGAGCTGTTGATGACTTGTGGAAGGAGCTGTTGATGACACCGCATGTGCGACCCACTGGCGGTGGACTAACAGGAAACAGCTGATAGCAGGAATTAGCAGCTAGTAGCAAGAGGGAAATGCAAACCTGACAGACACTGTAAAGATGAGCAACTGAGGAGACAAAGAATTGTGCGCCCTCCTTGTCCTCGCAAATGAAGAGGCCATTAACCGTCAAATGACGGGAACGGTGAAGGATGGGCCGACTTATGAGAGAATCACAGAAGGACTGACTAGGCGCGGCTTCCCTCCCACGTCACTGTTTACGTCACATGCTGAGTAGTCTCGCTCACCAGACCTTTCTCAAGAAAAGAAAGGTCTGGCTGGGCCGACTCTCACTTTAAAATTGGAGAAAAAAAACGCCCCAGCTGCTTGTATTTCTTTCAACCAATCACAGTCGTTCTGGGCAGTGTCACAGCAACGGTGCGCTTGCAAAAATATTGCCAGGGGGAAACAGGTTTTGGTGTAACACGCCCACAAAAATATCGCCTACAGGACGCGAACCATGGCAGAAAAATGGCTACATCCCCACAAGATCAAACACCGCAAAAGTTAGTAAAGGATGTGTTGAAAACGGTTGAAAACTGCTACACAACCGGAGGTGGTAGGGCGGGACTTCAGCGGGTGGCTCGTTCCGCCCAATGAGAGGCTGATCTATGCAGCGAACTTCTGCCCACTCAGACTACACGCTGAGCTAAACATTTCATTACTTGCTCACGCCCCCCACTGCCCCAAAAAAGGCACATTCTGTATACAAGAGTAGGTAGGCAGCATTTCGCTGCACTCCCCGATTTTGTTTTTATACTGCCAATGCTGAAAAAAGACTGATTGGGCTTTCCTGCAAATTTGCACAATTCCTATTTAAAAAGGGCTAAAGGTAACATGCCATTCAAAGCATGTTATCTTTCAAAATCGTTGGTAAAACAAATGCAAAATACAACAATTAAAATTTGTATGCCCTTCCTCTAAGCCAAAATCAAGTCCTTCCCCAGTGCTTACAAAAAATATTTGATATGCCTCCTCTTTTTTGCACCACCCCCTCCACCCTGATAACTAACGAACAGTCCCTAAATTAAAACCCAATTGACAATGAACCTTATTCTGATTCTTTCCAGTTATGTAATTACAGAACTCCTAATTCCAAAACACCGACAGCATTATGTGTACTTTTACATTTGCTGATACCTCTGCAGTCTTTCTATTGTAATATTGCTATCAACCTTCTTCCAGCTCTGGTGTTAACAGTCACTGAACAGTCCCCTGTGGGACTTTCCAAAGTGAAGACAACCCCAGCATCTTCAATGCTTATGCCCCTCCCCTTTTACCCATCACGACCAGATCCTGAGCTCTGATTGGAGCACTTCGCGTCAGTCATGATTTGTAGCAAGTTTGGTTGCAGCGTCGTGGCTGTTGATGTCGTTGTCAGAAGTCAGCCGATAACAGAGGACAGCTAGCAGGTAAGAATGGACTGACAGCGGCTAGCTCCGTGTATACGAGTTAATGCGATTAGCTACATTTAACACGAAGCTAACTGTAGTGTAGAGGCTCACAATATTTGGGATATTTATATTAAAAACATGAGCAAAAGGGGGTTTCGTTGAGTGTCTCCGCCGCCTCTCTGTTTTAGCTTGAGGTATCATGTCAAATTGATTCTGTTTAACTGGGAACTCGTGAGCAGCATGAATGGAGCCACTTGTTCCTCATTTAAATAACGACCAGCCTCAGTTTGCATCGTCACTAGATGGTCTCAGAGTGTAATAGGAAGTGGAGAGGTGACAGCTAACCCGAGACGTCAACTAACAAGTTAGTATTAATAGCTATACCTCACAGGAAATAAGAGTGAGTTCGTTGCTCTCCTCATCTAACCACAAATTTGAGACTAACGTTACTTCAAGTATAATATGTAATATCTGAGGTATTACACCTGTTGCTGTTCTTGAGAGGTCACACCGAGTCTTGTGGACAGAATAAATCATTCATTGATGCTGACACTAATCCTACAGGCTGTGTTAGAGCAGGGCTGAGCCAGACATTTCTTCATGTGTAGCCAAAACCCTCTGTCATATTTGAGTTAGAGATCATAGAGATTAGATTACATTCAACTTTATTGTCATTGCACAGGTACTGAAACAACAAAATGCAGTTTGGCATCTATCTAGAAGTGCAGAGAAG